ATAAAATCACACTTAAGTGTATGGTACCAAAACAATATTTTCAAAATATTTTGTTTGGCGATTTCTGTAGTATCCCATTAACAAATAATGATTTGTTACAGAACGATGCTAGTCATCTTTATGCAAAGCTGACGGTAATTTTAAGAAATCCATGTAATTTTATTTTACGATTTTGTAACAGCATTTTTTTTTATTGGATCGATTAAATATAAAGATAGTGGTTCAATGTAGTATCACTAGGGGGCACTAAGATTGGATTTCATTGTGACAAAGCCTGAAGAAACTTTAGCTGAAGAGACGCGTGACAAGGTAACCATAAAATAAAATAAATTATGCACGTTAATTCACTGTATTGAATAGAAAGTAGTAGTGGTTACACTGTTACGAAACGTATTGATGTCTGTGCTAGAAGTAAAATAGAAAACATAATTATCAAAGCTGATTTATATTTTATACAACATTCATGTCTTTTAAGAAAAAGAAATAAGTATTACCTTCTCGTTTTTGAATTTTACATAATCTCTAGTACAAAGAGTAATGCCTTACCCTTTCAGCAACACCACCAGGGACTAAAGTTTTTACTACAACACCGGTACTTCGTCCTCCGATGATTCCAAACCCCAGCCCTGAGCCATCACTCATTAAATCTATTGCTTCTACCTGGGCCCATTCCGTGTTCAGCTAAATCAGAAATAAAAATAATGAAATATATAAAAAAAATGGTTTAGTGATAACTGAAAAAAAGAAGAAATTAATATGAAGTTCGAGACGTCTCTATAAGGCAGAAAATGGCATTAAAATTACAATAAAACCTTAATATCAAAATGAGTAAGAAGATGAGTAAAGAAGACTGACGTGATAAACTATTCAGCGATCAATAGCTCTGCAGAAGCATTGTTATTCTTATTACTATGAGTTATTCACTAACGTTTAAATGTAAAATAACATCTTCATATTCACAAACACGCATAACCTTTAAATAACAATTTTCTTTAAGTTAAGTCACACTCACACACATTTATATATGTATGTATATAGACACATATACAAATTTATCACAACTGAAATTATTAGCGTTGCATTAAATTAGATATTCACGACAAAAACACGCCTAAAACACAAGTAGAGCTAAAGTCTAAACAACCTATTTCTAATAGAAACAGGCCAGGTGGTTAGGGCGTTCGACTCGCAATCTGCGGGTCGCGGGTTCGATTCCCGTCACACCAAACATGCTCGCCC